GGCAAAGATGACCCAGTTGGGACAATTTGGCAGAGTTACTGAGGTTACTGAGTCACTGGGCCGCCTGTGAGCGCTGTGGGACGGGGGAGAGGCTCACGGCGGCACACGCTGCTCGTTAAGAAGAGTAGGTGACACGTACTTTAACACCAGAGTCTCCAATGACACCACAAAAAAAAATCGCTAGATTTGTCGCTAGTTGCTTAAAATTAGTTGCTAGAGGAGTCTGAAAACAAAGTCGCAACACTGACAGGGATATAGTTAAACGCACTTGAAAGCACATTAGCAACATCCACACACAGCTAACATTAGCATTTTAACAAAGAGACGAAACACAACTCATCGTCTCACTCACCAGCGAGACCTCGGACCAGTCCATTACGGACTACAGCGGGGGGGGGGGGGCCGCAGCTCAAGGAAGAACATTTATGATCATTTCTTCATGGAAATACAATCAGACCGAGACGCTAAGACAGAAGAACTACCGCGTCTGTAAAATGATTAATATGGTGATTATTACTTCAAGGAAATGATAAAGAAAGGATCATAAATGTTCTTCCTTGAGCTGCGGCAGCCCGCTGTAGTAACAAGCGGCTGCTGGAACTATGTACTAGTTCTATGTCTGTGACCCTATATGTCCTGTTAATGAAGTTAGGTGCTGTTCTGAGCATTATTTGTGGTTATAGAGTGGCGCTTTGGTTGAGGGCGTGGCTCTCTGTATTACTATCCTGCGGTCGTTACTAAAGTTGGTATAACTAGAGACGTAACCAAAAAAGCTGCTGGTCTCACGAGGCGAGTGGATTTTACTTCACGTCATTAAGCCACAGCGCTCTACTGTTAGACCTGATCTATTACAAACACGACAATAAAGTCTTTGAGGCGCCGACTAGACCTGCTACAGTCCAGGTCAGCTTTACAGGCCTGGTTCCCATGGTGATAAAGACCCCACCCACTCTCTGTCCTCCACAGGTATTCACCCTCTGAAGCCTCAGCTGTGTTTTAAACGCACGTACACTTGTTTGGCTCTGACTCTAAATCTTAGTTTTTATCATCCCGGGAGTCTTTCAGCTTCTTTTCCGGCTGTTTTCGAGTTCGAGGCGGTAAAAAGGGACTCAAACCTGCGGCGTTCACGTTATCAGCTGACGGAGCTGCAGCTCGAAAACTTCCGCAGCTTTTTCTCTCTGGTAGCTTTTCAGTCCTCACGCTGTTGTTAGCTTTCAAACATCCTTTCAGAAGTAAAGACGTGACTTGATCCCTTCACCTCTAAACCTTTCTGCTTTGCTGATTGAGCCATTGAGTCTTCATATGCGAGAGCTTTTTCAAGTTTTTTCTTTAGATGCTGTCTCTAGCTTGTCAAAAGAAAAAGCAATGTGTCAAATCTAAAATCTCTACAACTCAGCGCAGCTGCAAACCACAGCAAGCTAATCCTTTGCTTAAAGCCTTTCAGTTTTCCCTCCACATGGAAGCGGTGAAAACACATTTGCAAATCAGAAATCTGAAAAGAAACTTGAACCTGTGACCCGGAGCTCAGACACCGACTCGAATTATTCTCCGATATTATTTCTCTTTTGGATTTCAGCTCTTAAAATACAACCTGAACATTTACTATCAGCACATAAAGGATGTAATTCAAGGTCTGTAAAATAAATTAACAGCATTTCTTTCAGATGAAGTTATTGAAATCATCGTCTCTGCACTTTTATGGACTTTACATTCGACAGCTCGACCACGGCAGCTCAGAGAGACACGCCGTCCTTTTCCTTTATGTGAAAGCTTCTCTGCAAATATAATTCTATCCTTATGTTAGGATTATACTAAACAGATCTTACCTTTTCAGTCTGAGTAACTTTTCTTATTAAACCCTAAATTTAATTTAACATTTTTTGAAAAGCTGAGAAAACGATGACAAAAGACTGAAAAATCGTGAAAAGCTAAAAGAAAATGTGAAAATGGAGACGATTAACCTCAGATATTAAAAACAGACGGGACTCTGAAGTGGAAATCACCACATCGACCCTAAATCTCTTAAAACTGTTGTCTTCAAGTCCAGAGCCAGAATCCCTGATGGTAAGAGGATCACCAGAGTCCATGTCCTGGTATCTTCCACATCTGTGAAGGCTCCGTTAACGCTGAACAAGATCTCCAGGTTTAGGAGCATCAGGACTCTGTAGTTGGAGTCTCCGCATGGGCTGAATGTCACTATCTGTGAACTGTCCTGAGGTCTGATGGATCAAAATCTAAATCTAACACTCTTTTGGAAAACACAAGTAGGTCTTTTGAAGAACTGTAAATCATAGATGCTGCATCCTCAGTTTTAAAAAATATCTCTGCTCCTCTAGGAGCAACATCTGCGTCCATCCAGACCAGGACTTTCTCAGGGAAGACCTTCATATGATCCCAAACCACATTATGACAACAGCATGACCTCAAAAACAGGACTAACCCGGGATTTGGAATCTTTGATTTGGAATGGTGGCGATTTCGTCAAACGCCTATTCCTACTGGATCTGTTTGAGAGGTGGATTTCATGGCAGATTACAGACAGCAAGAATTCACAAGAGAACTCACAAGAACCCGCAGATTCACGTTCAATCATGCCACAACAAGTTGTCTCTATACAGACAGACACATAGACATATAAGCAGTAGATTGTGTCCTTCCAGAGGAGGAAATCTACTTCTAGACTTCTAGAATCAGCATCTCCTCATCCATGGTGTCATCGGGGTGAAATGACGTCTAAAAACCTTTCACTTGTTCGTCTCCACCGGAGTGTTTTATTTTGAAAAGAAGTCGGATGTTTTATTTTGTGTCTGTTCCCGACTTCCTTTCCAGCACGGGTTAATCTGTGCTGAATTTATCCGCCATGCTCCGGCGTCCAGAAAAAATAGAACTCTTGTGATCAGCTGAGGAGTCCGGCGATCCTCAGAGGAACGGAAAGAAGTCGGTGTAAATTGACACGTTAACTTGAATGGTTACGATCAGCTACGATCGGAGGATACGACCTTTTAGGAGACCATCAGGATGAAGGTGGAGATATGGAGGTAAGGAGACCCTGAACTGTTGAGCAGCTAAAATCCTCTAATGGGAAGTTTGACTCTAAAACTCTGTGAATCTGGTCTCCAGAGTCCTCAAACAAAGAGAGGAGGTAACAACACGATCATCAACACGCCTTGAATTTAATTTTATGGAAAACGACGTTTTTAAAAAGCCTGAATCTCCGTCAAACTTCTATTTAAACAGCCGATCTGTGCTTTAAATAAACTGAAGGTTTATCTGCCGCCTTCACAAAACCACACATGCCGTTCTTTCACTGACAAAACGCAGAGTTCACCCAAACCACAAAACCCAAAATTTCCCTCTCACCTCAAGTGGCTGCCAACCTTGCAGATAATTTATTAGATTTCCAGGGTTTTCAGAGATCCCTGAGAAGGCCGGCTCCTCTCCGCTGATAGAAAGGTAAATGTGAATAAAATCTACACCTACAATAGACCACTCATGGAGGATCTCTGCATGTATGGCAGCCTTTCTGCGCCATTGTCTGTTCCATTTCAACACAAGCGCTGCTCATTAAAGTGAAAAACCCCGCTGTGGTTATCGCCGTTTCCTCGCCGTACGAACAGCTGGGCGGAAAAAACACTTCCAGCACCGACTCAAGAATAATTAACCTTTACAGACAGGATTCTCCTCTGATGGCGCTCTCGGGGTGGGGCGCGGCTCGGATGCTGCGACGACGGTTGTTTGTCACTTTGATGACGGACCTTCGGCTGACATTGAGAAAATGGTTAACGGACGGGACGCTAAAAACAAACAAATATATTTAGATGAAGATAGAGTCGAGATAGACGAACGGATCACGGAATAAAGTCACTGTAAAGGTACATGGTAAAGAAGTTTCATCTGAAGCGATAAGAAGAACGTCTGAAAAGAATAATTTATCAGGAGGAGAGAAAGAGTTCACATCTGGTTAAACTGGCAGAGGGACACGGCGAGCGTCAAGTTTCTGATGTATTCTTCAAATAACAAAGACGGCTGCTCATGAGAACAAGGTCAAGCAGCAGATACCGCGTTCGAAAGACTTCTACAAGAAGCAAACAACATTCATCAGACCAAAGTGAGGAGAAATATACCCAAGAACCATAGGAGGCGTCAAAAGATCCACGACAATCAGGAAATAGCTGCCAGGTGAGGAGAGCAAGGACGCGTGAAACAGACTTCTACAGACATCAGCGCGTCAAAGACGGAGAGAGAGAGAGGATAAGAGGTTATAGAGAGACTGCAAACATCGGACCGCAGGAACAATGTCGTCTTCGCTCATGAGTGAGATCTTCAGCTTCTCCATCATGTGACTGAAAGACGGCGGTTAAACTAAGACACTCTGATGTGGTCGTTCACGGCGGCTTCGCTGAGTTTCATTTATAAAAATGTAAATAACTTTCTGTCCTCTTTTACTCGGACATGTCCTCTTTTTTCATGTCCTTCAGATGTCGGCGGTTTGTTCGGAAGTGTTGAGTTTGTTTACCGTAAACAACACTCGACCTGACCTGAAGAACCCTCCTGTAGACGTGTCCTCTCTCTGGGGATTCAGAAGATGGTCACCCTAAAGTAATCATCAGATCTTCGAAGATTCATGGAGATGAGGAGATGCTGATTCTAGAAGTCTAGAAGTAGATTTCCTCCTCTGGAAGGACACAATCTACTGCTTATATGTCTATGTGTCTGTCTTTAGAGAGACAACTCCTTATCGAGCGATTGAACGTGAATCTGCAGGTTCTTGTGAGTTCTCGTGGTTCTTGCTGTCCCTAATCCGCCACAAAATCCGCCTCACAAATGGATCCGGTAGGAATTGGCGTTTGACGAAATCGCCGCCGTTCGGGTTCAGAGCCGTTTCATAAGCGTTGGGAATCAGGGGTTAGTCCCTTTTTTAAAATGTTCTTGTTTGAGATGACGGCTTCTTCGTTGGCGGTTGAGTTTGAACAAACAAGAGCAGAAATAACGTTTAAATACCTGGAATAACTTTTTATTTTATTTCAAACCTTAAACACTTTTTAGACGTCACTAAACTCACATGAGTTTATCTGAGTGTGTTTGTCGTTCTTTAACTTCCATCCAAACAAAAAAAAAACCTTCATGGTCACATTAGACTTGAGTTTGTTTGTTGCAGTAGATCCAGAGTTTCTCCTGATGTTTGTTGGAGATTCTCCAGCTGCAGGAACGTCAGATCGATCTCACAAAAGCTCCGATCATGAGGCGTTAAAGTTAAGACAGATGGAGCGTGTGTGTGATGAAGCGTTCGGTTGGATGAAACTCTTTTTAGTGCAAACATGTGACCGAACATCTGCGCCGCATCAAAGCGTTCCTCGTTAAAGCTGCCGTTATTTCTGCTCTCGCTCCACCGTAGGACCTTCAGGCTCCGGGTTTGTGGTTCCACAATCATGTCGGCTAACAAAGAACATACAGAGGGGGACCTACAATGTGGGCCTGTATCTGTGTGTTTTGGGTGACCTCTCTGCTGTCGTCACGGCGACTAACATCTCCTAGAGGCCTGATGGATCTGAAGACCGTCTTTGTTCCAGAAGTTTCCATCCGGACTCTCGGGAAACCACACTTTTGTTGTTTTTCTTTACAGCTGCTGACGCTGTGAAAACATTCATCTGCGGCGCTTTCGTCTCATGGTTATTCTGAGGAGGAAATGAGAAGCAGGAGTGACGACCGAAAAAGGAAAAAAACGGATCAAAAACGCCGTAAATGAAGCGGAGACGTCTTGTGATCAGGCAGCTCACACATCAGCGAAAAACTGATTCCTGAAACTATTTGAGGAAAACGAGTTTCTCCTCCTCGCCGTGTTTTAAAGCGGATGATTGGAAACGCTGAAACCTGAAGGACGCCAAAGAAGGCGACAACCTCACGGCGACCTCTGTAACCACAACGAACCAAAAAAACCTGCGAAGAACTGATGAAAGATTAAGACCAGGATCAGAAAAACTCGAGGACCTTTTTAGTGTTAGTCCTCGATGATTTTAGTGGGCGGGGCTTAGCATGAGTTAAAACAATGACATGTCTGATGGTTGGACAGGAAAGACAGACTGAGGGGCGTAAGAAGTCGCTGAGCCTGGTTTTTACTTTTGCGTTCAACCATGTGGCGTAGAGGTCGACTAGAGCTCTGTGATTGGTCGGCTTGGCGTTCGACACTCTTACCGTCTCCACACACCAACCACGAGTAAAATCATTCGTGTGACTGAATTACGATTTGACGCTCGGACTACTCCGGTGGTGTGAATGATGCTGATTGGGTGTGAGCTGACAATGTCTCAGTCTGAGTGGATACTTGTGTGGCGATGACTGACCAGCACGAAGGTTTCCGGGTGACGTATAAAAACGTCGTTTATCTGGAATCTAAAATGGAGGACAGACTGACTGTGATAATGATATGGAAAGTCAGCGAAGAGGTCGGATTACCTGATAAATCGTAAAAAAAACTTTATCGATCACTTGATTTTCGCCTGTTGATCTGACAGACTGTTGGAATTACCGCTGACACCCGAATGAAGCGAGTAAATACTATTTATTCACGCGATTCGCGCGAATTAAGCGAGTAGATGATTTTAATGGCGCTTGGTGTGAGCGCCCCATTAGTCCTCGATGTGACGATTTTAGTGGGCGGGGCTTAGCACGAGTCAAATCAATGACATGTCTGTTGGTTGGACAGGAAAGACAGACTGAGGAGTATAAAAAGTGGCGCCGCCTGGTTTTTACTTCTGCGTTTGACCATGTGGCGTAGAAGTCGACTTTGGCTCTGTGATTGGTCGGCTTGGCGTTTGACGCTCTCAAACGAACAACTATCCTCTGGACCAGCAGGCAGATCAAACACGCAAGCATTTAGCACCAACCGGATCCGATCCATCGCCACGATTGGAGGAGAAGCACTCGCGACATTACCGATGGTTCTCGCAGGACTGGACGAGATCTCGCGTGTTTCCCCGGGAATCACAGAATGAGAGCCGCAGATCGGTAAACGGCGGCGCAAATAAACACCCACGTCCTCCTATAATCAAGTGAAGAACAGTTCAAGGTTTTGACTTTACAACTTTCACTGTCGCTGCACTGAGTTGATGCGCTGTTCTCCGGCGTCCGGCAAAAATAGAAGCCTTGCCTTGCCCACTGTGCCGGAGTGGAGCCATTCAATGACAGATTATCCGTTAAGTTGAGAACAATAACCTTCACCACATTTGACAGCGTGAAGGATCTCACCTCTCACATGCTGATTACATCATTTATACGAATTAAACAAAGAAATGATTCATTCGTTCATATCGGTGCTGGTTCTGTCTGCTGTGAACACATGAGTCTCTCCATGGAGGGAGAAGGACACATGATGGTTTTCAACACCTCCTCCTCTCCGTTTTGGTAAATTCCGGTCTTTAAATGTGACAGTTTCAAACGTATTAAAATAACAACGTTCCCGCCGAATTCCTGGTGATATTTAACTGTATTTTTGATCATTATTTACTAAGCGCTCCTTTATTCAGAGGACGGGGCTGAGAGGAGGAAACGAGCGGAGCAGCAGAGGGTCCAGGGTCGGGGTCGAGGCCAGGGCTGCTGCGTATTCAGCGCATGATTGAACTGTAGAGGTGAGCCGACGCCTCCCTTAGAAAAAGCAAAATGAATTACAGCTTCAGAAAGATAACTAAAGTTTAGAAAAGGAGAAATCCCTGAACTGTCTTTGAAAACTCCATTTCTCTCCTGAATATTAAACCGAGCCCATCAATGTTTTTATTTTCAGTCCTATATCTGTCTGGGAGTGATCGGAGCCGGGATTCGACGTGACCTTTTCCAGAACAGGCTTCGCTGCGACGTCCGAAAATATCTCTGTGATAAAACACCGAGAAAAAAATAGAATATGTCACAACAATCGAGTTACAGAGACGATTTCTCCTCCTTCATGATTGAAACATAAAGATTAAAAAGCAGCGTCTCTATTATCGGAGCGAGCTGCACATGTTTCCACATTTAGGATCAGATAAGCTCCAGCTGTGGCTCTCAATACGTCTCAGTGGTGGTTCGTGTCGCTCCGCCCGCCTGCAGGCCCTCACACACCAAAGCCGAGAGGACAACAACTCGTTTGTCGATTTCAGCGTCAAACGAGGACAAGGCGTCCTCACGTCGCCTCTGACATTTCCGCTCCTCCTGTGGCGTCGGATCTGGGTCGATGGAGGGTGATGGAGGTCGAACATGATTTTAGACGCCGAGTGAAGATACGGGAGGACGTGATTCGGTACCAGACAGTCCTGAACGACCCGGCTGTCGCTGATAGGATGATGACCTCAGGAGGGAAAACAAAAAACCCTCCAGTGTGTTTGTGTGACGTTTGATAGAAGAACCTGAACCAGATCTCCGTCCTGCCTGAACCCGTTAGATCTTTTCAGGTTTCATCTGTAGTCGGCTGGTTATAATCGAACAGAGGAACGAGCAGCTTTGAGGAAAAATGTCCACAAACATTTCCTTTTCCTCCCGATCACATCCTCATAAAATCTGGACTAAACTCTTTTGAACTTTTACTCTCTTTCAATAAAACAAGAAGAAGAAGAGAGATGAATGTTTGGAAACTGCGCCTTTTTTCCCCCCTACATGGACCACGAGGTTTTGACTCATGGAGATTAAAGAGAAGATTGTTTGTCGGGTTTACAGATTACATCAGTGATACTGTATCTGAGTCGACTTATGTAAGTGAGTTTGAGTTTGTTAGGAAAGAAGAAGTCGGTTAAATTTGGTGAATTTTTAAAAGATCATTTCTTTTAACGTAATAAATTAAACAGGAGGGTTAAACGTGTTCAGTCAAGTTATACGTTGAAACAAACATAAAAAAATCCAGAAACTGTTTTTTTCGTTTTTTCTGGTTTTGAGGATCAGAAAAGGACCCGGAGTGTCGGCCGTCAGTCGCCCCTCTCTTTGACTCGCGCTCTTGTTTTGGTTTTGCGTGACCCACCCGCTGTTATCTCCCCGGGGCAGTGAACTCAACACGTCTCCGTCTTTTATCTGATGGTTGTTCGCACCATCAGCTGACTCAAAGCTATTTTCTCGGTCATGTGACTCCCGCGACCTCGCCTGAACCCCTCAGCTGCTGAAATGTTTGGTGTACAAATATTTTGCCGTACTCCTCGGATCCGGTTCTCCTGGCAGGTTTTGGCTCCGTGGCGGTTTGAGGTTTTTCTCTCGGTCCGTTTTAATGACACAAAGTCTGGAAGAGTTACCTGTCTGCACCTTCAAAGCTGCGAAGCCTCGCCGGGCAGGATTCTTTGTTTTGGGCGTGTCGCTCTCAGCTCTGTGCCAACAGGCAGAGTTATTTCAGCTTTACCAAAACCGCCACAGAGGCGCGCTCACCAACTTCAGATCCTGTTCCAGTTCTTCGGCTGCTGGCGTCGACTTTGGTGACTCAAAACCAGCCCAGCTGGGTTGGTGCCTTCCAGCAATGTTACCTGTCAGGATTTCTGGTTACGCCGTTTGTTCCTGGAACAAAAGAGAAAAGAACACGTTCACATCATTAAAAAAATCATTTTCTCAGCGCCACTTTACTTCCTCTAAAGATGAATCGATGAAGCATCGAAATGTCCGAGGTTCTGAGAGAAAACTCAGAATCTAAGATGTTTGTGTGTAAACGTTAAAGGAGGAAACTTTGAGCTTTTAGTCTGATCCGTTTGTGTTTGACTCAGTCGGTCATTCCTCGACTTTGGTCAAGACTGAAGAATCTCAGAAATCAGACTTAAGAGAGTCAGAAAAGAGATCCGCTCTGTCCTCAAACAGAGCCTGAAAATGTTGACGCCACTCTCCAGTTTGACTTTTTCATGAATGGAAACAAACTTCAGAAAACTCTCATTTTTATGTGTTTCTATCCGGAAGGTTCTCTGGATGTGGATGAAAATCGGAGGCTGAACCACGTGTGCGTCCTCCTCAGTGGATTGTGATTTCTGAAGGGAACAGTGAAGAGGTTATAAATTAAACAAAAGTTCATTTTGCACGTGGCGTTTCACTTTAAATTTCAGTGTAAAAGATCTGCTGACAGAAGATTTCCTGCTGAAATATTATCTGTACATCCATGTTTCATCTGCTACATGATTTCTTCTCCTCCCGTTTTGTCGGTGTTTTCAGGAGAAAACTGAAAGTTGATGATTTGTTTATTTTAGGGATGAGACGGTGGTGGGAATGGTTTTCATGATGGTATTTCTCTGAAGCAATTTTCCGAGGTAGTTAAAATCCTGCAGACGAGTAATATCAACAGGTTTTATTCTTCATACAAAACCCATAAATGTGGCTTCGCTCTGGTGGCTGTCAGGGAGCAGGAGGAACCTGGAGATGTGACGTTTCTCTGCAGCTCTGACTGGAACAAACAGACTTTTATTTTCTGTCTTTACTTCATGACAGATTTCCTTTCATATTGACTCGGTGAAACACTTTGCATAAACCTGCGTCCACATTCAGAGACTCATTTGCATCTTCTGACACCAGCGGAGGGTGACTCACTTCAAATGTCCGCAGACACGTAAGAACAACATCCACCTCTCCCACACCCTGGTTCCATGAGTTTCCCATCATCAGCTGTTTGGTTTAATCCGTTCTCAATGAAAACAATTTACTCTCCGAGTTTGACTTGGCCAAACTACCTTTGGCCTCTTCGCACATTGTTTAGTTTGAGTGCACACATACCTGAGAGTTACCTGGCCATGAGGACTGGACTTCCTGGTTTGAGAAAAGGGGCGTGGCCGAGAGCTGGAACACCTTGAGTTAGCAGAGGGGGTTAACTGGGACAAACCAAACGCTCAGATGTCATGGGGGAGTTTAGTTTGGGTTATTTTGTCCATTTATATACAGATGCTCCTTTTTGCTTTTTTTTTTGTTTTTTTCACACTTAATAAAACTTTTTTTTATTTTTTTAAAGATTTGCCGATTGCATGTTTAATTTCTCTGTGGTTACAATTTTATTAACAATTTATTAACATTTTTTCATAAACAGTATACAACTTATATAACAACAATCAAACCACAACAGAACAAACCCCAAAGGCCAACTCTGACCTACATCCCTTTAAAATAAACACATTACTTAAAAAAACTCATCACTCATTAAGTCCATGTGACACAAAATCGAAACTTACGTACAAAACTACAAACATTTGAAAGTTTTTATAAACTTCCCCGGACAGCTCTCCGAAAACGAGGACATGTCCAGGTAAAAGAGGACGTGTGGTCACCCTAATGTCAGCGCTTATTTCAGGAATATAACGATGTTTTACCTCCTGAAGTGGAGCAACATCCTGTCCTGCAATCCGTGCACATCATCCTGAGTGATAACAGAAGTTCAGCACCTGATTCGACCACCTGCAGCTCATCTTCTCTTGAACCTGTGCAGTTGAACTTGTCCATCTTTGTTTGTCCTCTGACTCCTCCTCTTTCTCCTCTCTCTCTCTTTCCCCGCCCCTCATCTGAATCCCTGCCCCCTATCCTTTACAAGTAATCCACCTTGGACCTGACTTGACCTTACCCGTGACCTCTAAACTGGCAGAATTAAACCATCCCAGGAACTCTTCGATCCCTCACGGGCCGCGTTGAACAGAGCTGTCAGAATGTCGAGATGATGATTTAAAAAGCCGATTTAATGAGCCGAGCGCCGCCTCAAAACAATTACAAAGAGAAAAATCGACATAATAAAAGATGATTGAGGCCGGAGCTCGTCCACTCCAACTCCTACAGGACGCTCGGTTACTAAAACGGACGATTTAATAATAAAAGTTGTTGTTTTTGTTCTCGCCCAGACAGTTAAACTGATAAAACACAAACAGACGCGGTTTTTAAAAAGTACTCCTGAAGGCGTCTGCGTCCTCAGCGGGGACTGAAGCGAAACGCCGTCCGTCCTGACAGAGCGGCGAACACTCCCAGGTCACCGCCATGTTTCACTCTTAATTTGTTTTTTCAGTCTGATTAGATGAAGTTCAGAGAGGAAACAATAAGAAACGCAGTCAAAGGTTCTTCATGGGAACAAACATGCAGAGATCCTCGCGGGACGGCGGCGGCGAGCGTCTCACTCCTCATGAAGAAAAACAAAAACCGGGGAAATAAAACCTGAACGCTCTCTTGTCACTTAGTTTGTTGTTTGTTCTATTAAAATTATTCTGAGACGCAGCGGCTCGGCGCTCCTCTGTTCTGACAACATTATTAAAATATGAGTTTATAAAAAGATGTGTTCAATGACATCACGTGAGTCTGAGCGCCGAGCAGGTCTCTGTTTTCTTCTCTCTCCTGCTGCTTTTACACGAAGAAGAAGAAAAGGAAAAGTCAGAGGATTGATTTCTTTCTTCTGAGCGTTTGTTTGTTTCTTCATCTTCTTCTGAGCTGATCGGCTAAAACAGACGATTTAAAGCAAACAGCAGCGACACGTTTACATGTCGGATCACGCTGCAGTTTGGATTTGTTTTCAATGTTTGAGTTTGACTAAAATCTTCATGAAGTTTCACCTCAAATATGTTCATTTGTCTCCTCAGAGATTTTCATCTTTTTACCAACAACCAAAAATCCTGCTCCACAGTGCAGACCCCACGATGAACAGAAAGTAGCACTTTTACCTCAACTTCCTCAAGGGGGCGATGTGCCCTCTTTCAGCTTGTTAGTGGTTTATAAACTTCTATGTCACGTACCAAAACACTCGACAAACGCATGAGCCGTGATGTTAGCTGAACAAGCTCTTTTACCGACGACCAAGACGTTATTGATATGATCTAGGGCTGGACAATATGGCCTCAAATCAATATCACGATGTATTGATCAGTTCACCGCGATAACGATAAATGGACGATAACTACTCCACCAGCTGCTCACCCCCTCCCACATTAACTTCATCTACTTCAGCCGCTACAACTTTCTCTCCGTCCTCCATCTCCTCACCTGTCTTTCCCTCTTTGTTACAGACTGGAGGGGGCGGAGTAACGTCTCTGACGTAGGACAGCGTCTTAAAGGGACATGAGACCATAGCCTACCTACACACATCCAAAAACAACGTTGATCTATTGATTTATTTGACACTGAATATACCGATATGGGCAAAATGACGTCGGTTATTGATGTACACTCACCGGCCACTTTATTAGGTACACCTGTCCAACTGCTCGTTAACACTTAATTTCTAATCAGCCAATCACATGGCGGCAACTTAGTGCATTTAGGCATGTAGACATGGTCAAGACAATCTCCTGCAGTTCAAACCGAGCATCAGTATGGGGAAGAAAGGTGATTTGAGTGACTTTGAACGTGGCATGGTTGTTGGTGCCAGAAGGGCTGGTCTGAGTATTTCAGAAACTGCTGATCTACTGGGATTTTCACGCACAACCATCTCTAGGGTTTACAGAGAATGGTCCGAAAAAGAAAAAATATCCAGTGAGCGGCAGTTCTGTGGGCGGAAATGCCTTGTTGATGCCAGAGGTCAGAGGAGAATGGCTAGACTGGTTCGAGCTGATAGAAAGGCAACAGTGACTCAAATAACCACCCGTTACAACCAAGGTAGGCAGAAGAGCATCTCTGAACGCACAGTACGTCGAACTTTGAGGCAGATGGGCTACAGCAGCAGAAGACCACACCGGGTGCCACTCCTTTCAGCTAAGAACAGGAAACTGAGGCTACAATTTGCACAAGCTCATCGAAATTGGACAATAGAAGATTGGAAAAACGTTGCCTGGTCTGATGAGTCTCGATTTCTGCTGCGACATTCGGATGGTAGGGTCAGAATTTGGCGTCAACAACATGAAAGCATGGATCCATCCTGCCTTGTATCAACGGTTCAGGCTGGTGGTGGTGGTGTCATGGTGTGGGGAATATTTTCTTGGCACTCTTTGGGCCCCTTGGTACCAATTGAGCATCGTTGCAACGCCACAGCCTACCTGAGTATTGTTGCTGACCATGTCCATCCCTTTATGACCACAATGTACCCAACTTCTGATGGCTACTTTCAGCAGGATAATGCGCCATGTCATAAAGCTGGAATCATCTCAGACTGGTTTCTTGAACATGACAATGAGTTCACTGTACTCAAATGGCCTCCACAGTCACCAGATCTCAATCCAATAGAGCATCTTTGGGATGTGGTGGAACGGGAGATTCGCATCATGGATGTGCAGCCGACAAATCTGCGGCAACTGTGTGATGCCATCATGTCAATATGGACCAATTTCTCTGAGGAATGCTTCCAGCACCTTGTTGAATCTATGCCACGAAGAATTGAGGCAGTTCTGAAGGCAAAAGGGGGTCCAACCCGTTACTAGCATGGTGTACCTAATAAAGTGGCCGGTGAGTGTAAATTTTGTTATCGGTAAATTTTTGGTTTATCGCTCAGCCCTAATCTGATCAATGTTTAAACCGGTTTAAAAAAAAAACTCTAAAATCTCTCAACATATTTAAGTTTGTATAAAACTAGAAAAAATCTTTTCACTCATTGGCCGTTATTGTTGTTTTAGTCATTTAGTAACATTTTACCCAATGGTGCGAAACCACGTCATTTGACCAACCTTTCTGATTTTAACCTTAGAGACGAAAGTGAAGAGGATAAATGAAGACGAACGAAGACGCTAAGAGGAAAGAGTCAGCCAGAGTCGCTGGTGTGCGTGAGACAACTGCAGGTTAGAAATCTGTTATAAATTGAGATTTTTAAAGAAATAATGATTCTCCAAAATTTTTTAACAACTCACTCTCATCCATTAGTCCTCGCGGTTGCGGTTTGTTTTAATTCAAATCAGTAAATTAACTTTTCAGGTTTTACTTTGTCTCCTGTCCTCGTAAAACGAAAGTTTCACCCACAGATAATTTATTTACAAAGTTCGAAAATACTCCGCTGTGAACTTTAACTCTCCAAAAACTTTGTTCTCCTGTTTTCTTCAGTTTGGTAGACGTCTCTTTGTGTCTTTCCATCCCTCCTCTCTAACTTCCTGTCTTGGACGCTGGTCAGTCGTCTCGTTTCCTGCTCTGAATAATAATAAAAATGTCCTCCATGTTGAGGTGGAGGACGTCAGTCAGAGGGGGGAATGTGCCGAACTCCTGTCAGCGGACTTGGACCACGCCGCTCCTCACTAGAAGGGTCTAGACCGATCAGAGTGAAGTATTTCACACAGCGAGGTTGTAAATATACATTACAAACACGGTGGAGATCAAAGGTCAGAGAGGGCGGGAGGGGGTTGTTATTTGGTGTGTAGCTGGAGGGAAATCTTGGTTGTGTGTCTGCGGCGTTGACAAACATGGAGGTTTTCGTCTCTTTGTCTCCGACTCGTTTGCTCTCTGCTGTGAAGAACTGCTGGACGACCTTGATGCAGCAGAGAGAAGGAGCGCGCCGCGGTTTGATGTCGTGTTCTGTGTGTGTGTGTGTGTGTGTGTGTGTGTGCTGTCTCTGGCAGGGTTTCCAGCTTCTGCTCCACCTTGGCTTCACACACACACACACACACACACACACACACACACACACACGATTGTTTGTTTTTTTCTGAAGGTGTTCTTTCGTCTCCCCAGACGACGTTAAATCCACTCACATTTGTTTCTCTGAGTCTCGCCGTCAAACCGAGTTTTCACCCTTAAGTTTCTGTTTTCTCCACAAGGACGAACATTTAGTCTCTATAGAAAAGGCAGAGCTCTCCAACATCGTATACTGACGACGTCCTTCAAGAGAAACTCTCTCTCTCTCTGTCTCTCTCTCTCAGATCCTTCAGCTGTTTTGTCCTCGTCTTATTCTCTTTATCACACAAATAAAACCAAAACTTCACGACAGCTCCCCGAAACATCTAGAGCTCCCTCTACCTATCATAAGCTCCGCCCCCTCCATGTTAACAGATGGGACACAAATTAAAAAATACTAAATGATAAAAAGTTTTTCTTTTTCTTTTTTAATGTCCTTTCACATTGGGACTGTTTTTGTCGTGCGATTATTTCAGAGGTCAATATTTTTTTTCGAACCCGTATCCTGTCAATACAAGCGTTCACATCAGCGACGTTTTCCCGTCCTGCGATATTGCTGCATTTATTTTTTCGTATCACGGTCGATTTTTCTAAAGTTTCACAGACTGTGTGTCCACTTCTGACCAATCAGATTGCGTGTTGTTGCGACGTCAGATTCACCGGTATATCCAACATGGCCGACCGGCTGATTGTTTACATGTCAGAGAACAGAGTGATTTTTGATAAAAACACAAACATTACAAAGATAACGACCTGAAGGACGACTTGTGGAGAGTCATAGCGTCGGATTTCTCATCTGACGATGGTTTGTGAGCTTTAACAGTTTGATAAACGTCTTTTTTCCACCGTAAAGTCACTTGATGTGTTCAGTCAGGCGCGTCAGAATTCGCCTCAGAATATTTCGTATATTTGCGTCAGCCCCGGTGTCTCAGGACCGTCAGACTACATAAAATATTTGGCATCAGATTAGATGACGTCAACACCGTTTTTTTGGGGGGGTTTTAGGAAAATTATGAAAATTTTTCGTTACTGACTCTTTTTTTTCTAGTTAAGATGATGAGCTAAAACAATCACTAATTACACAAACTCAAATACACTAAAATCCGTCATTCTTCAATAAAAAACAGGCTGAATGAACACAGTCATCCTCTCCTTCTTCACGTTTCTTCTTCATTTTTTAGGTGAACTTTTCTACTCGTGTGTCGATAATACCGTAACAGTGTTACATATTTATTCTGTTGATCATATTCTCTTAATTAGTTTAGAAACAAACGGTTTCACGTCGTTTCAGAGAGGTCTCTAACTTCACTTCACCTCCAAAAGAAAAAAACATCGAGGGAGTGAGTTTACTTTTGCTCGACGAAACGTTTTATTTCCATTTAAATAAAATTTAACAAAAGTAACATGAGAGGGATATTTTAGCACTCTTTCACTCACTGCACGCACACACACACACACACACACACACTGAAAGATTGTGTGTGAAGTGCAGCACCTCCTCACAAAACAAAAACACACATTCGACTCAAGTGTCGGGTCGGGAGGAAAAAAGGGGAGAGAGAGAGAGAGACGTTCACATCATTTCACTGTCACCCCCCCCCCAACACACACACACACACAAACTCACACACACACACACACACACACACACACACCAAGGACATCCCAGCATCTGCCAACAGCCTGTGAGTGTGTGTGAAAGAACAGAAAGACAAATTTAAAGACAGAAAGTGAAAGTGAGTAAGAGTGTGTTCATGTTGTGAGATGGAGGGAGAGGAAGTGTTGGTGTGTGTGTGTGTGTGTGTGTGTGTGTGTGTGTAGGCAAATAAGAAGAATGTGACAATGAGAAATGTGTGAATACGTGTGTGAAAGAGATGCAAAGTGTGACTGGGTGCAGAGTGTGTGTGTGAAAAGAGGAAAAACTGTGAGTATGAAGAGATTAAGTAAGTGTGTGTGTGTGTGTGTGTGTGTGTGTGCGTCCTCTCTGCCCTCTTCCAGCTGTTGTTTCTTCTTTTTCTCGGCAGAAGAAGAACAAAACTCTCCTGCAGCAAAAACAGAAAACAAAAAAAAAAGGAAAAAAACTTTCAAATGTGGCATCAAAACATAAATTTATCTCATTTAAGAGAAAAAAAAATTCACAATTCCTCGCTGACGCTCCCACACTGTCGACTGGAAACTGAAAAAGTTTGTCTGGAGCCAGATGGTGTGCAACGTGAGGAGACAATACAAAAAAAAAAAATTAAAATGCTGAAACCGATTCAGTTAATTAGGACGAAAAAGCAAAATGTCCTCAATTGTCTGTTTTTTTTTTGTCTCATTTATTTATGGAAAAGTCACATTTCAGCGAGTGTTAAAAGACAGAAAATCAAGAGAGATCGCAGCAGCGGGAGACTGAATCAAAACAGGCGCCGCAGTTCCTACATAAATCATCACTTGTAGACTTATAAGAAAATCAGACGGAGCCGTGAACTCCAGAAGTTTGCCTCCGAAAAAAAAACACACAAACTGAGTTTGTCGACGTTTCCTCGGCACAGGTGCTGGAGTCTAAAGAAACGCCTGAGAGTAAACCTGTTCCTCCTTTAATGATCTGCCAAAGACCAAAGTTTCTCAGATTGTTTGATTTGAATAATTCTTAAAGGCAAAAAACGATTTCGCTCCTCACAGGTGAGAAAATAAAGAGGAATAGTTTAGTCAAGGATTAAAATGTTTGTGGTTCCAGTAAACACACTCAAGACGAGTTAATTAAAAGCCTTTGTTAGTCGTTAAAGTTGGCTTTTACTCTTCGTCAGATTCAAACGTCTATAGAAATCAAAAATGTCAAGGTGATGCCGCAGGAAAGTCATCCTTCAAAACAAAAACGGCTTTTCTGCTTTTGTCTCTGAATCCTGTTGAATCTCTTTTTTAACCTCATCGCTGTTTTTACATTTCTGAAACCGCATTCAACGACTTCCTGTAAATGAACCTGCATGTGACTCTGTCAACTACGGGAAACAAAAGGCTAACAGAGATTTTTATTTACTTTTATTGATATTTAATTAACATTAGACGGATAAATCACCGTGATCCACTTCAATCCACACAAAACTTTAGATTCACCTCTGAGTTCATCCAACGAACACGTTTTACTTCTCTTTTTATCACCTCCCTCACAGTGAGCCGTGCCGTACTCATGAGTAATTTTTCTTTAGTATCATAAATAGAATCAAAAATAGTTATAAATACCCACATAAGGTGCTCTCTGGATGTCCTACCTGCATATAAAACAGAACAAAAAAAATCCCGGTGATGCTGTTCAAGTTTGTACAACACAAAGATGGAATGTCTAAATGACGTCAAATAACTAAAAGTTGCTCTCTGGTTGCCCTTCCTGTATCTAAAACATAAAGAAACTATGCTAAAAGTGCTCTCTGGTTACACTGCCTTCCTGTAAAATTTCCCTTTCAAGTGCGAGAAAGGGTCCTGACAGAATATATCACCTGTAAAAAGTGCCTTAAGTTTTCTTTCAGAAATAAAAAAAATGTCAATAAAATTAGAAAAAAGTTGCTCTCTGGATGCCCTCCCAGGTCTCTCTAGATCCACCTTAAAAAAGTCTTTAAATGCTGTTCCAGGTTAGAAGACATAAAACGTGTCGTCTAGATGTCCTTCCAGAATAAAAATGATCAGTTTGAAATGTTTTGAAAATGTCTTTAGATGTTGTTCCTGTTCATTACAGAAGAAAGGTTCCTCTTTCGACATAATATGAAGGATTGAAAAAGTACAATCTGGATGCTCTACCTGCACATACATCATGATGAACACTGACCTCAGGTTATTGAACACAGATAGGTTCTCCCTTTGAATCCTCTTACAGAATATTAAATAATAAACAGTCCTTTCTCTGGTTGCCCTTCCTATATTTCAGGTATTGAAAAGTCATCTTTATACTTTTCAAGTATGTAGAATAAGTAAAAACTGATTCTTTGATGCTTATTTAGTCTATGAACTTTGATGAGGTTCTCTCTGGATGTCCTACCGGCAAATAAACTTTTACAAAGTTACTTCATTGAGGAATTTTTAAAATGTTTTAACACTTTTAAGGTCTTTGTAATAAAAAATAAATATTTGTTAATAATCCACTTATAAAACCTTATTAGGTATTTTAAAACAGTTTTATCTTTTAACACATTTATGGGCTCTTATTAGAGACTCGTTTCTACTTTAAATCAAAAGTTAATTATTTAACATGAATTAGACTTTGGGATTACTTAATGATTGATAATTATTTATAACGAACATTTATTATTGCTTATTGGAATCTTGTCGACAATATACTGTTGTTATTAAACATGAATAAGAACATATCAGGTGATAATTAATGCTTTATTAGAATGAATGAATAATTAATTTAGCACTTACTAACAGCGATCAATGCTCCTGGTCAGCAGGTCAATATAAGGTCTAAAAGCCGTTTATTTACTATTATTACAAAGACTTAAATACTAAACGTCTCCAAAAAATGAAGCGGCTGTAAAATGTGATCATCAGGTCATATTTTAACTTCAGTTTGAAGATTTTAGAGTCTTATTTCGCTGCAGCGGTGTCACATGTTAACAGATAAATTGCGATAAAAAGTCTTTATTCGGTAAATTTCAGCAGCAGCTTGTTCTGATGTTCAAAACGACTCGTACAGCTGCAGAGAGAAAAAGGAGCTTTTAGTCCAAAGACGTATTTACTTTGTCTCGTAAAAACTCACAATGTGGCACCTTGATATCCTGCACCGAGTCTAAAAACATCTCAGGCTGTTTGTCAGGGAGGGAGGGAGGGGGAGGAAGAGGAGGGGGGAGGAAGAGGGGGAAGAGGGGGGAGGGTTTCCACGTCGCAGCATCAGCAGCTGCCAAAAATACTGATGTGTTCAGAGCCACTCTTGGTGCGTCTTTCTGCTCCTTCTCCTGAAAGAACGGGTTGAAAAGTTCAGTGTGAAATCACATTTCCGCGCGATACAGTCAGGAATGAAAGCTGCCGTGCCCCCCCAAAACTGTGAATGTGTGTGTGTGTGTGTGTGTGTGTCTAAGTGCTTCCAGTGTACAAGAGTGTGTTTATCGTTCTGCCTTTTTGCTCCATATTCATACACAGTGTGTGTTTGTGTGTGTTTGTGTATTTGTGTGTGTGTGTCCCTCACCAAGCCGCAGATTTTCTTGTGAATCGCTCCATTTAACAGAAGGCCGTGTGTGTGTGTGAGTGTGTGTGTGTGTGTGTGTGCGTGTGTGTGTTCCTGGAGGCTGCAGATGAGCGTGTTTCCACAGATGCAGTAACACTGACGCTCCCATGTGGGTGCTGACACCGGAGGGTGGGGGGATTCTGGGTGAAGATGTTCCTCTGACAGACACGACAAACACTCGCTCCTGACTGACGACTCGGAGGTCGAGTTGAATCTGTGCGAACACTGAGAGTTCGGGTTAAAGAGGGTCTGAGCGTCTCTAATCTGAGGCCTTCAGCTGATTCATGAACTTTTTATTCATCTGTTCATTTTTTCATCCTGTCGTTGAAAACAGCTGTTTGACAGTCAATCCCTCACCAGAAAAGTACCGTATTGACTCTAATATGGGACTTTTTTTGTCCGTATTTGGGGTCTTGAATTTTTAAATACACCTTTAATGTCACTCACAGCTGCAGCACCAGGCGGAGGAAAGCTGGAGATCGGTCGATCAGCTGACCCCTCCACAACGATTCCTGCTCACTGCCGAACTTCAAACCATCCACCATCATGTGACTTCGTGGCTATAGAGTGGCGTTTTGGTTGGGGGCGTGGCTCTCTGTATTTCTATCCTGCGGTCGTTACTAAAGTTGGTATAACTAGAGAAGCAAGCGGTCGACAACATTCATCTCTGGAGGGGGGGGTCTAACTCGGTGTTATGGTGTGTTTGATTTTATTTCGTAATATCCCTTTAAAGAGACAGTAACCTAAAGCATCAAATCCAGTAAATCCCCGACCGTTACAGCGAACACCTTCTTAATCCTAATCACACTTAATGACTCTAAATTACAAGTTAATTTGAGATAAACATGATGTCACCCTTTTGTTTCCGAAGTCTGTCAGAAATGCCGACTTCACTTTCGGTAAAAGAGGCAGAGTGAAGGCGGGGCTTCACCAACACCTGTCAATCAAGCCTCTAATTGGTCAAACTTGAACCCTTACCTTGTTTACTGAGGACGTGTTTATTTTGGCCTTTTTGAAAAGAGTGTGTATGTAAGATCTGGTGCTTCTGCAGACTGCCTCTAGTGGACACTCAGGGAACTGCAGGTTTTACTCAGGACTTCATGAGAAAATAAAAAAGTCTCTCTCTAATTGTCGGTTGAGGTGAATAAAAGTTCGGGACACTAACTGAAGCTTCAGGGAACTTTGTAGATCCTGTTTCGCTGCGCCGTTGTTGCACAGATTGCAGGACAGGTTTTTCCTAAAGTCCAGGAGCTCCTCCAGCTGATCTCACAACTGTGCTGAAAACCGGACTGAGACGGACAGTCACATTTTCACCACAGCGTCGACAGGCTGAGGCGGATCATTCATGACGATTGATTGAACGCCCGGTGAGCGATCACGTTGACGTTCTCCTTTGAGGTGGAGGTGAAATGGAGTTTGTGTAACGCCGGGTGTTGCCCAGCTGCCGCCGCTCCCCTCCGGCCCTCCGGCGCTCTCCAGTCAGACCTTCACAGACGCGTCTCCTCCTCCCGCTCGAGTGTTTGTCTGAAGTCTGAGCATCGCGGCGAATCCTCCTTCCTCACACCTCTCCAACGTTGGCTGTTTGTGACAATTTGTCAAACTTTTCTGAATCCAACCTTCACTCCCACTTCACACAGAGACCGCCAGATGTGTGGAGCTGAGAAGAAGAAGGTCGCTGTTTGAACCTTCAGCCATTTTTTTTTTCTACTTTATTCTTCACACAACTTCCTCTGCCACCTCTCCTGTGAACGAGCGCCGAGTCGAGAGCAACGCCGTGAACGCCTTCCAAGGGCCGACGTCCAAAAATCCTCCTCTGCTATTCTCATGTTTGAATTATTTCTGCGTCGTGCCGCTCTGGAACAGCGGCGGATCAGACTGGTTAAACTGGGCGGCTTCCAGGTGTGAATGTGTGGACGTTTGGGAGCGTGTCAGAAAAAGAGACAGCAGGACTCCGAGTGAACGATGGAGTCAGGAAATAATAATGCGCTAAATGTGTCTTTAAATGGAGTCATATTCTCTTAAGTCGTTTTTAAATGGATTAATTAGAGAAAAGCATCAATCAGAATAAACTCCTCACTCATGAGAGCCTCAAACTGCAGTCGGAGGATCGCCAAACGAGGGCGAAGAAACCGGCGAGGAAATAGATTTGATAAATCAAGAGGAAAAATGAGAAACAGGGAAACAGAAGAAGACGTGTAAACAAAGAACGAGTGTTTCTTCTTCTTCTTTTTGATTATCTGCTCATTTATTCGCTCATCTCTATAGATACTTGAAAACAGAGAATTTAATGAAGACTCTGAATCATGATGACCACACAGAGCGTTTGAACCAGAATCAGTTTGTTTTTATAAATTTATGATTTTGTTTTAGAAATGATCAAACTAGAGAGTTTATAATCTGAATGACCTCCTGCTCAGATACATCGTCTCGTTATTGACATCTTTTTTTTCCAGATAATCCAGAAACTAGTTTGTTTTTTTAAACTCGACATGATTTCTTTAGAGTTCACAGTCTGCAGCCGATCCGTTTTGGTTTTTCGCCTCTCTGCAGCCCGTCTGTCCTCCTCGGTTCGTCCTTTCCGCTGAATGTTTTGTTACAAATGAAGCACAAACAAAAATAAAAACACACTTTTAAGGCCCCGTTTACGCAGCCAAAGCACTCAGACACAGACGTCTGTGAAGAAATCCGATTGAATCGCATTTCAAACACCCTCCACCGTCCATGTGGGAGCTAAGATCTTCTTCAGCTAAAAGAAATATTCCCTTTTTTTCCAGGTTGATGAAATTATTGGGGATATAATCTGAAAACACGAACACTGAGCCTTCAAAATGAGCGGGAACTCGGACAGACGTACATCTGGCCGTCTGGTTAGTTTAGTTTAAAAAAAAACAGTTTTGTGAAATAAAAGAAGATTCGAACAATAAGAAAACAAACTCCACGTCCACCTGAGAGGAGACTCTGAGGACCATAAACCTGAGTTATCTCCTCTGTCTCTCATGATCCTGAAATCTGGGTGAAAATCTGTTAAACTCTCTATATTCCTGATCATCTATTATAGAGAAAGCAGCGCGGTCTGAAGCGGCGGTTCGAGTCTGATCCCGCCGCCTGAATATTTATGATCAGTAAAAGAGCGAGCGGGGATTCTCTTCAGGGTTCAGTAAAGTCTTAACAGCTGCTCTGCTGGACCTGCTCAGCGCTGACCAGTTACAAGCTGTGGTTTTAACGGCAGCCTCCCAGTATGGCGCTGTAGTTATGATGGTTGGTTCCCAGTGTGGAGCTGAGCGAACGAGCCGCTGGAAGGTTAAACAGTAATAATAAAGTGCGGCGGGATGGCTCATGGAGGGTTTCCTCAATATCTCATCAGATGGAGGTAACCGCCTCTCTGTTGACGAGCGCTCGTTCACACATCACTTAAACTTTTGATTAAATTTCTTATCAAACTAAACCTCCTTTATGGACGCCTGTTTCTACTTTAAAAAACCAACACCAGTCTGAGCTCCACGATAAAACGACAGGATTTCAGAAATCCCAAACGTCACGTGAAAGTCGAAAATGAGGAGATAAAAAAAGTCACGACAAAACCGTCGAGTTAATCAGGTATAAATATGAAAAAAGCAGAAAAAAGATTCTGTTTAACAAAACGCTGAAAAACCTTAAAAATAAAAAGTGATTTTTTTTTTAATTTATAGTAAAAATTGGACATAAAATCGATCATCTTCAGTGATTAAATACTTTATTATTCTAGTTTTAAAAAGTGCTTTTCTCTGTCACTGTGGCCTTTTTATTTTCACTTATTTTGAGTCAAAGTGATCGTTATATTTCATCTTTGAATGGGCGTGTCCTAATATAACAGCGATATCTTTAAACAAACACCAAATATTAATGTTGAGCTAAAAATAAGTGTACAGCGTTACCGTGACTTGAAGATAGTGGTCGTCAACGCCGGCTGTCACTTCCTGTAAAGAAACCAAGAAGAAGAAGAAGAAGAAGAAGAAGCTGTTAGTGAGTCAGCTGTAGATCCTCTGAGAGACGACCTAAAACAGCTGATTCTGCGGCAGCTTTTCTAAAGAAATCGTGGTGAAAGTTTCGGTCATTTGAGGCTTCTTGTATTAAAATAGCAGAAAAAGGGAAAGTTGCATATTTGCTACAACAGTCTTCACAGAGAGACGGGTCACACCCTGTCTTATAATTTAGAGAAAACATGAATCTTCAAGCTCCAAGTTGAAATACTGAAAACATGAATCCATCTACTTTAAAGAGTAAATCCACGCAGACCTTTCAGACCCTCTCGGTTCCTGCTGTGGTTCTGGTTTCATCTGTCTCTGTCAGTGTCACTCGTCTCCTCTGTCCTCTTCCAGTCTCAGCTCTTCTCCTTTCATGTTTTGCGGTTAAAAAGCGACGACTTTTTCACATGTTAGACAAAAATATTTAACTCAGCGCAGAGGAGTTTATGTCCGCTTTCATGAAACTCATCCGGAAACTGATTTGCAGGAACTTTGGCTGTGATATTTGTTCGTAAATGAGAGTGTTTAGCGCAGCACGTCTTCATCTTCTCAATGTAAACAAGGAAGTGAATTTAATGACGTACATGTCACGTGAAGGCACGGGCGAAAGAGGCCGAAGTTCATTGGTCAAATCTGCGGAAACTAAGCAGTGATTGGACAAAATTGCAGCACCTCGCCAAATTCGTGATGATTGATTGAATTTGCGTTAACAGTAGCGATCGCAACATCGCGACTCAAAATATGAAACTTCAAAATAAAAGCACAGTTTCACACTGCAGGAAGTAAAACAACATCAAAACAAGACAGAAGAAATATCAAAATAAAAGCAGGACAAACATCACAGAACTGATGGTGATAAATCATAAAAGTTAATATTGACAGAAATCAATCATGACGTTAAGGCTACGTTCACACCACAGGTCAATTCTGATTCTTTCGAAGTGTGAACAGGTCAATTCTGATTGGTTCTAATCCGACCCAGGCCTCTTTTGTATGTGGATATAAATCAGATATGTATCTGATGTTCATCCGACCTTTACGTCATCAATATGCGACAAACGTCACCGTTGTTCGACAACACAAACAGGCGCGGAAAGTTATTTGTGCTTTGTGCGCATGCGGGTTACTTCACGGACGCATTTATTGTTGCAATGTGAACAACCGCACAAAAAGATCGGATTTAACAAAAAATCTGAATCGTGCATCAGAACCTGCAGAGTGAACGTAGACTAAATGTACGTTTCCATGCGGGGAAGTTGGTGGAGTAACATGCTGCTGTGGTTATCGGAAACTTAGTTCACTACATTTCTACGATGACTGACTGAATCAGCAGGATAACAGGGTCTCTGCAGGTTTCAACAACTCAGATTTAAGACTTTTTAAAGACTTTTAAAGACTTTTCAAAGACCATAATGAAAACAATTTAAGATCTGTAGAAAAGACATGAAGGGAAACCTGAACTGTTTACATGACTTTAAATCAATCTTTGTTTCTATGGTACCTTATTTATTTGTAAGTAAAATTCACACATTTTAAAGACCTTTCGAAATCGTATTTTAGACATTTTAACAGAATTTTAGACATTTTAAGGCCTTAAATTAAAATTATTTGATTTTAGACGTTGAAGACTTATTAGTCCCCACAGATACCAGGATTAATAAATAAACAGTTATTGTCGAGGTTAATCACACTCATCACTGACAAACCAACGTCTGCAGTCTGTGCCTGTTTCCATCAGGGTAGTAGATAATTATAATATTATGATGGTATTATTGATCGTATCTGTCTGACTCTGATGTTTTTAGAGTCTTTAAATAAACTGCGGTTATGAATAAAACATATTTAATATCTGCTTTAATTGATGTTGACTGGTAAATATTTATTCGATGTAATAATGAGTTAAAATCTGCAGAGAGTCTGAGTGAGAAATGTAAAAACCTGTTTTTTATTGAGCGTCAGTCAGGAGCTGAACCCTGAGATGTTTGTTGACAGGTACCTGTTGAACACACCTGTGTTTGTGTTTGAGGCTCCGCTCTGTTTAATTGGAGACTTCAGGTCGTCGGAAAGGTCGAACCCCTCTGGACCTCATCCTTCAAAAGAACTGCTCCTGAATCGAGATGCAGCAATCCCGAGGTAAAAACAGGACCGACAACAGGCTCTGAATCCTCGGCAGCTCCGGGGCGGCTGGGTTTGACCTTTGACCTCCACGGTTAAGACGCTCAAAAAGAGCATTTCTTCACAGGGATCAATAAGTGTGTGATTATTATTCTGTGCAGAGAGTGAACTGTAGATCTGCAGGGTTTGAGTCCCTTTTAATACGAGGATAAAGATGAACACCCACCTTTCGCTGTTTAATGATTCACACACCGACTCTCCGCTCCCTCGCTCGCCCGCTCGGCGCTGCAGCACGTTTGTTTTGTGACGAGCTTTGGTAGGAAACACAAACGGCTCTTTTAACATCTTTGAAGACATTTAGACAACAAATCAAGCTGCCATGTTTCATATTCTGATTCATGTTCTGCCCTTTAGATGGAGGTCAGAGTTCAGCTGCAAACACAAACAGCTCTTCACTCTCTCGCCTCCTACCTGCAGATTTACTCCGGTTTGTATTTCTATGTTTAGTTTTCATTGAACGGTAGCTTGGTTTTGACACATTCACAAGGGGTAAAATATCGTATACAGCCTTTAGAGAGGCTCTGTGAATAAATATGCAAAGGAGGAGAGCAAATAAGTACCAACACTTTGTTCCAGCACACATAAATACAGTCTTCAGGTATTTACTTTAGCCGCTATATCTTTGAACTGACGCCTTTAATCCACAGCCAGAGGACCGGGCTGTAGGTTCAGGCTGCTCCAGTTCCAGCTGCACTTCTACCTTTTTTCTCGTCTTTTACAGGCTGTAAAGTCGAATAAAATTAAATACACTTTCTAGTTTGAACACAACATTTAAAGGAGACATTTAACCAACATCACGACGGTCTGAGGTGACATTAAAGTTTACAGATATGATGAAACAGCTGCAGAGACACAGACTGCATTTATACAGTTGACACAAAAAGGACTGAAGGAGGGCATGAGGACACGACCCTCCTACACCTGCAGATACAGTTCAGCATTAAACTCAACCAAAACGCCACTCTATAGCCACAAATAATGCTCAGAACAGCACCTAACTTCATCAACAGGACATATAGGGTCACAGACATAGTACTAGACACCAAACATCTTTTTAACTTTGACTCATTTCTTTAGCAAACAGACTAAACACAACTCACCTACTCTCTTCCAGCAGACGCTTGTTTGTAGAGAGACCTCAGGCCAGTCCATTAGGGACTACAGCGGGGTGCCGCAGCTCAAGGAAGAACATTTATGATCATTTGGAAGAGCGCGAGGGCGTGTCTCTCTGTATTTCTATCCTGCGGTCGTTACTAAAGTTGGTATAACTAGAGAAGCAAGCGGTCGACAACATTCATCTCTGGAGGGGGGGGTCTAACTCAGTGTGTTTGACCCTAAATTAATTTTATTTCAGAATATCCCTTTAATGGAGCCTTCACAGATGTGGACGATACCCATGACTTGGACTCTAATGATCTCCAGACCCTCAGGGACGCTGGATTTGGATTGTGTTTCTTTTCAGACAGACTTTGAGACCATGTGGTGATTTCCACTGCAGAGTTTTGTCTGTTTTTAATTCAGCTGAAGGACCTGAAGATCAGGACGATCCAGTCTTGGTTTTTGTCTTTGCCCCCTTCTCTGAATCTTTTAACGATGTTATTCGCTGCAGATGATAAAATCCTAAAAGATTTCGGTCCAAATTCTGAGCAGTCAAACATTTTCTATCCGACTTATTGAAGCAAATTGAATGTAAACTATTTTTATTCTTTGATTTGAAGAACAGCTTTAAAATCCTGTCAGAGGGACACTTTTTAATCAATCAATCAATCAAAGTTTATTTATATGGCACCAAATCACAACAATCGTAATCTCAAGACGCTTTCCAAAAAAAAGACCACGCTCACTTAAATACTTTGAGGACATTTAAAAACTTTTGAAGTTTAATTTCAGTGAATATATGACGTCCGTGTTTACGTCTTCGACACGAGTTTCTGTTTTTCTTCTTCGTCTGAATCTTCATGAAGGATTCTCGCTAACGTCCGGACGCGCCTCACTACAGAGTGATGCGTTACTGCTATTAAACAACACAACAGAGGTGTGAAGACGAACAGTTACACAATGATCGCTTGCATAAGCCTCTCTGAGAGTTTACGGTCATCTCCGGCCGCCGCGCCGCATGCGTCTGACATGTGTAGAAAATGGCGGTTGTGTCTGGGCAGCCAATTAAGACAGAGAGGCGTTATGTAAGTGTGTTTACTCGGAGCAGCAGCAGCAGCATCTGTCTCCCTGAAAGTCGCCTTCTGTTGAGTTTTTCGACCGCTGATGTCTCCCCCGTCTCTGATTTAAGTGCAGCTGAAGGTTCCAGGTCTCAAACGGCAGAACATCCTCGCACAGCGGGGAGTGTGTGTCGAACATTTTGTGAGATAGAGCGGAGTAAAGAAGCCGCTTTTGAATCCCTGGAGTTGCAGAGGAACTCTCCGAGTGTATTCCTCTCGGGACGGAGGGTGTTTTTTTTACATTTTGAGTTTCTATTCATGCCGGCGAGCTTATCTGTTTCTCAACAACATCCTGATTCACATTCACACACTTACACTCCTTCACACCTGGGAGCTGCAGAGTACAAACGCAGACTGCTGCTGCTGCTGCTGCTGCCGGGAGCCTCAGAGGAGGAGGAGGAGGAGGAGGAGGAGGTGGGGGGGGGGAGGTGAGGGGAGGCCTCGCTCCGAGTCCCTGGACTGAGGGGGGGAGTCAGACCGGCGGCCCACCAAGCCTGTGGATGCAGGTGTAAAGACACAACTCTTAGTTTAACACACTGACACAGAAAACCTTTCTCCAGTCTCTGCTGAATTTAACAAACACGATCACAGTAAAGTTCGGATCAGAACCAAAGCCGATCAAAAAGCTAAACTGGAAATAAAACCGTAGAAAAGTTTGATTTAAACAAATTTACACTGACAGATTTTGGATTACTGAACAAAAGAGCGACTGAAACCTTTGAGGCCGATAAGGTAGAAAATCTGGGATCATAATTAATCAGATTTAGATTAAACTGAAAATCTCATTATTGATTAAACCGGCTGCTTCAGAAACGTTGATCTTTGTCTCAAACTGAGATTATTAAGTTTTTGGTGTCTGAAGAGTTTTTGTTTCTGACTGAAGGATTAAAAAAAGAAAAAAAAGAAAAAAACACAAAAACTGAACCTCATTTTCTTCAGCTGTTCTCCGGTCGACCAGACGTTAGCAGGAACAGTTTTCTCTATCAGGACCAATCTGCAAATGTAGAAAAATCACGATTATGATGATACTGAATATTTGAGAGAAAATAGTGATACAAACCGCAGTACCTCGAGTGTCCACTTGGGGTTGACTGCAGAAGCTGCGGAAACCACGTCAACACAAAAACCAAAAATATGAACCTCTCTCTCTCCAGATTATCTCAACCTAAAGTCGGAGTGATTCGTTAATCTACAACTGCAGAACATATCGGGTTTCCAGGACGGATCGAGTAGCGAGAAGAACCACGGTTTGAGAGTCCGCCATCTTAGAAAATGGCGTGCAGATAATCACAGCGTCAGGTAAAGTAGGACACATTTGATATGGTTTGCGGTGACTTACCGAATGTGGCCTTCGAGGGCTGAAGCTCCTGGATCGGGACACAGATCTGGTCCATCAGGCCCACTTGTCCACAGTCCGGGTTTCCTGTCGATCCGCCACGGAGCGAAGAAACGACGATAAACGACCAAATCAGACGAGGAAATCCAGGCTGATAAAAACATGGCTGCAGGGTAAACGTGGTCAGTCGACCCGGGATCATGTTCATGTCAACGTCCTTCACCCTCTCTGATATACGGTCTGATCTCTGCTGTTTAATGCAGGCGTGTTCCTGTTAGTAAACGCTGAATATTTTATGTTAACAGTGTCAAAAGTGATATTTCTGAACAGGAAGCAGCACTTTTTCCTCCTTCTTATCAAACCTTGAATTTAAAGTGGAATTCTGGGAAGGTGACAGAAACAGTGTTTCTAGCGGAGCGCTCATATTTACCTGATTTCCCACGGGGCTCAAACGCAGCTTCATACACAAAAAGTGTATTCAGTGGAAACGCTCGTCTCCTGCATGTCGATTTATCTGCAGAGACTCAAACACACACCTACACACGGCGAGCGCTCGGAGGGTACGACAGCTTTCAATCCGGCGTGCGCCGCTATCAGCCCTGAATATGATTCCTCACCTTTATTCATTTTTAATTTTTTTTACAGCCCCCTTCGTTCTCATTGTGATTCCAAAGGCAGAGCTTATCTTAAATTAACACCAGCACCGTGATATCCTCTGAGAATACCGACCTGATATTACAGCGGCGTGCTCGGGATGGGCTCAGCGACGTGGAGAACATCCACGATGAGCGGCGAGGAGACAGAAACGCCTCCCTGGTCTTTTGCAGATCTATCAGGCATCAACACTTTGAAGGCCGTGTCGGTTTATTTACTTCCAAACCTTTCCCCCTCCTCTCATCTCCATCATCTCCCCTCTCCTCCCGACTGAAGAGGGTTTGAGCAGGTGAACCTGGCGAAGGCGCACGCTGTTATCCTCGCCTCGCCGCATCAGTCTGAATCGAGGACAGAGCGAGGGAGGTCACAAGTGTTTGGAGTTTCTCATTTCTTAATATCAGATGGAGGGCTGGATGAAATCACAGCGACGGCTTCAGAGGAATATTTTGTCTTTTCACGTTTAAGTGTTTGGTTTACGCAGAAGAAGAAACAAGTTCATCTGGTTTGTTTGGAGCGTCATTATCCTCACAAAAGACATGACGGCGTGTGAGAGTGATTCCTCACAATATAAGGACACGGATAATAACACAAGATTGATCCACTCTCATATCTGCCATTTGAAGTCCAATTCGGAGTGAAAGGCAGTTTGTGTGTCGGCTGCAGCATCCATATCTGCTCCGACGATCGCTTCTCCTCTGTTCTCCTTTGAGACACAAATCAGAGCCTTTGAGGGAGAAGATTGGACTTTTACTCTCCTGAAGTCGGCAAAGAGTGTTGCTTCCATTTCAGCAAATACACTTAAGCAGCTCGAAGCGACAGACAGCCGACGACGGGGATCAGAAACATGGAGAACCACGAGGGTTAACGTGGCGTTCAGAAGGATCCTGGACTTTGTTTCTGACCCTAAAGTGTACACACACACACACACACACACACACACACACACACAGTGCTGTTCCGCCCTTCCTGCTCCATCGGCTGATTATGATCCTCTCTCA